CAGGCTGCAACGCTGGGGCTGCTGCGTGACCAAACGGACATGCTCCGGCGTCTGGTGGAGCTTCAGGAACGGCAGCAGGATGACAGAGTGCCGCTGCAGCCGCTGTATAACCTCCCTCCCCACTCACTATGTTCCATATCCTCCTCACCCAGACGTGTAAGAACGCGGGGGGGGGGGGAGGCTCCGTGCACCCTCCCACTCCACCCCAGTGGACAGCCCAACCAAAAGGCTGTCATTATATTGAATTTGAGCAGTGGCCTTATACTTCCTTCATATCCTCCTCCCAAACCTCACCCAGATTACCTTCTTGGTTCTCTCCCTATGTTTATAATCACTTAATAAAGAATACATGATTTTTAAACGATAGTGACTTTATTTCCTTTGAAAGAAAGCTGGGGGGAGGGTGGGTTGCTTACAGAGAATGAATGAGTCAATAAAGGGGGCTGGTTTTCATGAAGGGAGAAACAAACAGAATTTTCACACTGTAGCCTGGCCAGTCATGAAACTGGTTTTCAAAGCTTCTCTGATGCACAGCGCTTCCTGGTGTGTTCTTCTAATCGCCCTGGTGTCTGGCTGCGCGTAATCAGCAGCCAGGCGATTTGCCTCAGCCTCCCACCCTGCCATAAAGGTCTCCCCCTTACTTTCACAGAGATTGTGGAGCACACAGCAAACAGAAATAACAATGGGGAGATTTCTTTGGCTGAGGTCAGAGCGAGTTAGTAGCGATCGCCAGCGACCTTTTAAACGGCCAAATGCACATTCTACCACCATTCTGCACTTGCTCAGCCTGTAGTTAAACAGCTCCTGACTCCTGTCCAGGCTGCCTGTGTATGGCTTCATGAGCCATGGCATTAAGGGGTAGGCTGGGTCCCCAAGGATAACTATTGGCATTTCAACATCCCCAACGGTTATTTTCTGGTCCGGGAAGTAAGTCCCTTGCTGCAGCCGTTTAAACAGAGTAGTGTTCCTGAAGACGCGAGCATCATGAACCCTTCCCGGCCAGCCCGCGTTGATGTCGGTGAAACGTCCCTTGTGATCCACCAGTGCTTGCAGCACCATTGAAAAGTACCCCTTGCGGTTTACGTACTGGGTACCCTGGTGCTCTGGTGCCAAGATAGGGATGTGGGTTCCATCTATCGCCCCACCACAGTTAGGGAATCCCATTGCAGCAAAGCCATCCACTATGACCTGCACATCTCCCAGAGTAACTAGCTTGTGTAGCAGCACCTCAGTGATTGCTTTGGCTACTTGCATCACAGCAGCCCCCACAGTAGATTTGCCCACTCCAAATTGATTCCCGACTGACCGGTAGCTGTCTGGCATTGCAAGCTTCCACAGGGCTATTGCCACTCGCTTCTCAACTGTGAGGGCTGCTCTCATCCTGGTATTCTGGCGCTTCAGGGCAGGGGAAAGCAAGTCACAAAGTTCCATGAAAGTGCCCTTACGCATGCGAAAGTTCCGCAGCCACTGGGAATCATCCCACACCTGCAACACTATGCGGTCCCACCAGTCTGTGCTTGTTTCCCGGGCCCAGAATTGGCGTTCCATGCCTATAACCTGCCCCATTAACAGCATGATCTCCAAAGCACCGGGTCCCGCGGTTCGATAGAATTCCATGTCTATATCCTCATCACTGTCGTCACCGCGCTGCTGTTGCCTGCTCCTCTCCGCCTGGTTTTCCAGGTTCTTGTTCAGCATAAACTGCACGATAAGGCGCGAGGTATTTACAATGTTCATGACTGCTGTCTTGAGCTGAGCGGGCTCCATGCTTGCCGTGGTATGGAGTCTGCAGTGTTCACCCAGGAAAAAAGGCGCGAAATGGTTGTCTGCCGTCCGTTGCTTTCATGCAGGGAGGGAGGGAGGGAGGGGTGAGGCTGTACCCAGAACCACCTGCGACAATGTTTTGGTCCCATCAGGCACTGGGATCTCAACCCATAATTCCAATGGGCAGGGGAGACTGCGGGAACTATGGGATAGCTATGGGATAGCTACCCACAGTGCAACGCTCCAGAAATCGACGCTAGCCCCGGTACATGGACGCACACCGCCGAATTAATGTGCTTAGTGTGGCCGCATACAATCGAATTTATACAATCTGTTTCCCAAATTCGAATTATATAAATTCGGATTAATCCTGTAGTGTAGACGTACCCACAGTCTACTTATACAAACACACAATATAATGGACTTTCAAAGAACTACACAGCCATTCCCCCTTCTTCCTTAGCTCATTTCTGTATACATACAGCCTCAGCTATATTTCAGACATTGATTTTTGTCATCCATGGACTATATTTCACCCTCCACCTTTACCGTGTACTGGCGCCTTGTTACACTGTGGTGTGACCATTTGTTCAGAATGGTATACGAAAAGGGAAGGTAATATACGATTTTTACTTTTAACACCCCAGCGCATCTTTGCAAGAATGTGCAAGTATCAAGTAAAAATGAAAGCGTGAATGCTTGTTTAACTGTTGTTTGTGCTTCCTGGTCTCCATTTTGAATTCCACATGATGATGGTGGTAGTGGGTTGATACCAAGGCACTGGCACGCATTCCACCATTAGTGGACGCATGCTGCTACCCGTAGCTAGTAATATATTTTGCTTTGGGTCATAAACCAGAAATCCCTCCCATTCCTTTAACAACAAACAGCAGCAGCAAACATGGAGCGAGAAACTTATCAGGCTCTGGGGCTACTTCTGCCGATTCTGCAGCAGGCTGCTCCTCCTGGGGGTCATCAAACTGCCCCTCTGAGTATTGACTCAGGACATGCTACAGCTGCTCTGGTGGCAAAGCCTCCTCAGGAACTAGTGTGAGCACCAGAGTTATTTTGCTAGCCTGTTCCGGCTCCCCTCTGATTCAGGGTTCAGAAGGTCGCCATTCCGACTGATGGTGACCTACTGTTGGCTCCACACTCAGCACAGTACCCACCACCCCATCAAACTCCTTCTAAAAGAGGTAGGATGATGGAATGTTCCCAGAGGTATGGCTCGCATCTCTCGCTTTACAATAGTTGCTCTTGAGCTGCTTAATCCACTCCCGTCACCGGTCCAGTCAATCCCCAACTCTGCCAGCTTTTTCGCTCTTTCCTGATATGCATAGACATTTCTAGCACTCTTACTGAACTAGAATGTTTTGGTCACCTCACACCAGGGATATACCAAATCTGGCTGATCTTGTGACCAGGTTGCAGCGTGCATGGTAAAGGACTTCTAGTCAATGGCCACTGCAAATGCACAAGAAGGTTCACTCTGTTTGCAGTTCAGTGGTCAGAAAGGAAGGGTTAAATGGCAAGCAGCTGTGCTTGAACCAGGGGGTTGCTTCTGTTGCAACTACTTAATGTGTTTACACTATCCAAGATGGTTTGTGTAAAGTGGGGCAGTGTGTCCATATGCACAGAGCATCCCATCTAACCATGCCTTACCTATCCCATAACTGAAGGCACAGCCCTCTAGACCAGATTCTAAGCTTGGTAGGAGATGCACTGAAGCAGTACATCAATACATATAGTTATACAAATGCACTTTATTATATGATATACATTTTCCAAATGTTCAGACATTCTCTAAGAGTTTCCAAAGTTATACTGCAATGTATTGGAAGTCGGAAAGAGGAGGATGCACAATAAAGTGAATGGCCCTACACCAAAGTATATTTTCTCCAAAGATTCAAAGACTTACACAATCTTTCCAAAGGCCTTTCTGTTGTAGATTCAAGTCATGAGAGAAAAACATCCACAAGCCACAGAGGCTACATCTATAATCCAATAAAAAAATCTGTGGCACCAAGTCTCAGAGCCCAGGTCAGTTAGCTCAGGCTCATGGGGCTTGGACTCCAGGGCTGAAAATTGCAGTGTAGACATTTGGCCTGGAGCCTGGACTCTGAAAATCGCCCCACACTGGGTCCCAGAGCCTGGGCTCCAGCCCAAGCTTGAACATCTATTCTGCAATTTTATAGTCCTGTGAATCCAAGTCAGCTGTCAAAGCCAGCTGCAGCCATGCTACAGGTCTTTTACTGTAGTGTTGACATACCCTTAGAGTGCAGACAGACAATTAACCCAAGCATCATACCTAGGAAGAAATAATCTATTTGGAAAAAAAAAAAAAAAAAGACTTTACTGTTTATGTAATAATGTCTGAGAAGAGTAAAAGACAAAAACTTAGTAAAGCCTCCAAACACAAGTCAGACGGCAGAGTGCTGCTAGGAGCTGCAGGAATTATGAACAAGGTTCTGTGAGCTGAGCTGCACAATAGACCTGAATTATGGAGCAGGAATCCTGGACTACACGATAATGATTTTTCTACCCCTTCCCCACACTAGTACAAACTCTTCATTATTGATTTCAACATTAAATTCAATGTATTTTATGCAGATTTGTATATTGCAAGCACAAAGATGCTTTCCAGAAATTGTCAAGGAGAAGCAGGATGTTGCACCAGGGAGACAAAATTCCTCCTCCCTTATTACACCTTGACAGTAATTAACTGTTCCACTGCACCCAGACCTACTGCCTGTCTCTACATCCAACAGTGACAAAGAATTTTTGTTAAAATGATCAGCAATGAAATAGTTAATCTAAAAGAGCATAATTAAACTGCAGTCTTAACTCCCAAGTGAGACGCATGGGGCATTTTATGTTGTGGAGCACAATTATGCAGTAAGTTTAAATAGATGAATAATTATGTAGCTGCATAATCATATTATAAACACATGGGCCCCCAAGGGCAAAAAGGCATTATCAACAAGCAAAGCTTCAACTCACGAAAAACTACCTGACTGCACTGGTCAAAAACAACAAGAATAGTCTTTAACTATACTTCCCTTCCTCCACCTCCTCCCCTAAGGAGTCAGGGGAGGGAAAAGCTGCTGTCCTAGAATAAAGGGCTTTTACCATTTGACGGCGAGACCCTAGATGACCAAAACTAGAATGAAACCGTATATTATATATATATATATATACACACACATATACACATATATACATACACACACACCTACCTGAGAATGTATGGTACTGTGATCCACATGGGATTCACCGCAGCCAACATACGAACATCTATTCTGTCAAACAAAAATAAGAGAAATAATTATGGTGCAGTATACTCTGTTAATTCTTTTTAGTGAGTTGTCAAAACATACCTACAGAACAAAGTGATATGGCTTCCAAATGCATTTTTAATTCAAGCTATTGTATATTTGCAGGATTCTGAAAAAAGCAAGGTATCATGCAAGGTAAGCACTGCAATAAATAATATAGTAAAGCAATGAGAATGCTGCAAGATTTTCCTCTGAATTTCCTTGATTTTGAGGGTGGGGTTAGACAATGTTTTTGATGTATGTCTTCTCTTCAGCTGATTTAACTTGATCTTTTTCTTATTTAAAAAACAAAGTGTCCAAGATATTCTGAAAAATCCATGAAATGTAAACATGCCACTATCAATTGTGTGTGTATTATTTGGGATCTTTAATTCAGAGTTTGCCTCTAATCTGTCAAAATTGTTAATATTCAATATGTCAATCATTTCAACATCAGTGCACATTTATATGCACATCAAGGCTATTGACCATCTGAACATTATTTTATAACCCACAGATTTATTACCCTTTAAGTATGTGCCATATTTGAGTTACAAAATGCAGTGTCTATTTACAATTCAATAATTCTATTATTACAGTTCTGTTCTAACATGTATTTGCTGAGCTGGTATGCAAACTTGAAGCTGTCAGTATGATGCTAACCTCAAGACATTGCTATTAGTCCCTCATTTCCATGAGCGCCAAACACAAGCACTTAAGTAATCTGTACATACTGTTTGTGTACATTAACACATATATACAGATGCTGCTCATACAAAGCGTTGGTACTTAAACGTCAAATAGCTCCTCTACGTTTGCATTAACTGCTTTCTAAAACTTTAATAGCATGCATTTACAGAAGATAACAATAGATACTGGTTAAGCAATGAGGCATAATGAAGTTTCTATCATGCTGGGATCTCACCATGTGCTGGGTGTTTGGCTAAGCACAAAGGGGAAGGCAAGGTGCCAAATCATCCAAGAAGAAGAGATATCACACCATGACACCTCCTTTGAAGTGTCTTATTGTGACTATAATATCACCCTATGGAAATATTGGTAGGAAATTAAAATAAATTATTCAATAAATGTCCAAGTGTTCCAGATTAAAGCGGATATAAATTCAAAACAGACAAAAAATGATTTTTGTTTAGCAAATGCCTCTCTTTTTGTTTAGCAAGTGTTCTCTCTCCCCTCCCCCCACCCCCTTTGGTTTTGTGACTTTTCCACCTGATATTCCCATCCTTTCCACTCCTTCCACTTCGGTTTCCTCTGCTAAAAGGTTTTTTAGATGTAATTTGGTAGCTTAAAAAAATAGCTTAATGAGAAATTGTATAAAACTTCAGCCAACATTCTCTCTTTTTGAGAGAAAGAACAGAAAAATCTGTTATTCTTCTTGCAACCAGGATTCTCTTGAAGAGGAGGGGGGGTGGAAAGCAATTTTAGAAATATATACATACTGGCTGCTCCCTGTCACCTTTCAGCCCAGATTTGAGTGTTGACAAGAGATATGCATCTGAGCTCACTGAGGAGTTGAAAAACCCTGCTGAGGCAGATCTGCACACCTGCAGCACCTCGAGTGACATTTTACAGCTGATTCAGCTGCACTTCCCCTCTTGTATCACAGAGATGCATCTTAATCAGAAGCAACATTCTCTCCATTCATTTTTTAAAAACATCTGGAAGCCCCCTTCATGCCAAAAGCTGGGAGGGTGAAGCAGCAATATATCTTAATGCTGGAGGTAAGGTGGTTAAGTTATTTTAAGAGGGAGAGGGAAAAGAGGTAAGTAGGTAAGGACAAAGCCTGAAGAAAGAATACTTTTCAAATGTTTGTATAGGATTTTTAAATGTTTGAATAAATGTTTATTTTACTTGTTTTGCTTGGTGATAATGAAGCGACACTAGGTCAGGGATTCTCACAAAAAAATTTTTGGTGGCCTCAGAGTGCAGCCACCATCTGTTGCTAGTGGCCACTCTGACAATTTTTCCTAAAATACTTAATTAACTTTAGGAAAAACAAATAAATATGCACATATACATGTCAACATCATTGTAATTTATGTAGGATTTTTTTTCCAGACTCAATAAAAAAAATCATTAACAGTTGTCTCTATTCTCTACTGGGCCTAACAGAATAGAAACATAACTAAGGTGCTTTGTACGTTCTTGTCTTTTTTCTTATGTCTTGATTTTTGGTTGCCTTTTTTTTTTTGTGTTAAGATGTGCTAGTTACTAAGTTTGCTGTGAAAAGTGATATTAAAAGTACAAATATCACTTTTCACAGCAGACTTACTCAGCCCCGGCAAGCTTTGAGACAAATTAAGCCCTGGATGGGGAGGTGGATATGGAGGTAGTGGGGGCCAAGGGCACTGGAGGGGGGAGTGATCTTGGGGCCAGAGCTTGCCACCGTATGGCCCGGGAACAAAGCCTGAAACCCAGTGGCTGGAGCCTTCCACCCGCCACCCAAGGGCTGAAGCCTGACCCCACCAACCCTGGGAAAGTGGGGAACTCACTATCTGCCTGCTCCTCCAGCTCTTGTGTCTCCAGAGGTGGGCAGGGCCCAACCACTGCTGGCTTTTCCCTCCCCCCATCACCGCCCAGGAGGTTGTGGCCACAAGAAAAGTCCCTGGTGGCCACATGCAGACACAGTGGCCGCATTTGAGAAACACTGCACCAGGTAATGCTGTGCTCTGACAAGTCAGAATTTACTGTAAATACCAATAGTATTTCCACTCTTTGTAAAGCAACTCAAGAAATGTAATTTGTTGTGATGCATTAAGACCTTCCTAGGACTACTGACCAGGCAGAACATAGGATTTCCTAAAACTATTTTATAATTTACCTCACTGACAAATAACCCTGGAAAGGCCAGTGAACAGACAGCAAAATTTCATTTTTAAACTCATGATCATTTTCAGTTACAAAATGTAAGTGTGTCTGAATCTTGGTTACAAAGCAAATCACTTTGAGGCTAAAAGCATGTATGGTAAGCATTGATATAAAGCAATGTTTAGAGTTAAATTTTAAGCCCCTCAGAATAGCTGTTTGTGCAGGAATTGCTGCAAACCTTTACATACAGCTTCATTAGAGGAGTACCCAGATCTATCACACATATCCCCTGCAGTAGATCAGCTTACCTCTAAGCATGCCCAAAGGTTTGGTCCTCTAACTTTGCAGTCCTGACAAGTGCCCTGTTAATAAAATATAGATAAGGAATTATTTTACTAATCCAGTTTCCAGGGATTGGTTCTTAGCCCAATGCTATTTAACATTTTTATCAATGACCTGGAAGAAAACAAAGTCATCATCACTGATAAAAGTTTGCAGATGACACAAACATTGGGGGAATGGTAAATAATGAAGAGGATGTGTCACTGACGCAGAGCAATCTGGATAGCTTGGTAAACTGGGTGAAAACAATATGAGTTTTAATATGGTTAAATGTAAATGTAGACCTCTAGGAACAAAGAATGTAGGCCATACTTACAGGACGGGGGACTCTACCTGGGGAAGCAATGACTTTTGAAAAAGATTTAGGGGTCATGTTGGATAATCAGCTGAACATGAGCTCCCAGTGGGATGCTGTAGCCAAAAGAGCTAATGAGATCCTGAACGCATAAAAGAGTAGCAGTAAAGAGGTTTTTTTACCTCTGTATTTGGCACTGGTGCGACCACTGCTGGAATACTGTGTCCAGCCAGTTCTGGTGAACACAATTTAGGAAGAATGTTGATAAATTGGAGAGGGTTCAGAGAAGGCCCAGGAAAATGATTAACTAAAGCAATGGTTTTCAACCTTTCCAGACTACTATATCCCTTTCAGGAGTCTGATTTGTCTTGCGTACACCAAGTTTCACCTCACTTAAAAACTACTTGCTTACAAAATCAGACGTAAAAATACAAGAGTGTCACAGCACACTATTACCGAAAAATTGATTACTTTCTCATTTTTACCATATAATTATAAAATCAATTGGAATATAAATATTGAAGTTACATTTCAGTGTGATACTTGAGCCTGTTTTTCACTTGTGAGCTTTGTCTGAAGCTGGAGCCCCAGGCAGTGGGTGGGGCGGATGCCCAAGCCCTGCTGCCCGGAGCTGAAGCACTATAATTTAGCTTTACAGGGCGCCCTGTGGCAAGTGGTTCCAGGCAATGGCCCTGCTTGCCACCCCTAGTATCAGCACTGCACTTGCAATCTCCCTAAACCTGTCCTGAGACACCCCCCCCTCCCCCCCCCCGGGGGTCACAACTGTCAGGTTGAGAAACACTGATCTAGATTGAGTACTCCCTGGAAAACCTGTGCATACCCCCAGGGGTATGTGTACCCCTGGTTGAGAACCAGTGAACTGAAGGATTAGAAAATATGCCTTATGACTGAGCTCCTTGAATCTCTCTCATTAGCTTAACAAAGAAAAGATTACGGGGTGACTTGATTAGTCTGTATCAGAGGTGGGCAAACTACGACCCGCAGGCCACATGCAGCCCGCGGGACCGTCCTGCCTGGCCCTTGAGCTCCCGGCAGGGGAAGCTAGTCCCCAGCCCCTCCCCTGCTGCCCCTCCTCCCCCGCAGCTACGCCACTGTGTGGGCAGCGCAGCTTGCGCCTGCCTACCTCCCAGGCTTTCCAATAAGCCAGTCCTGCCACTCTGGGCAGCATAGTAAGGGGGTGGGGAGCAGGGGAGTTGGATGAGAGGCAGTCAGGGGACAGGGAGCAGTTGGATGAAGTGGAGGTTCTGGTGGGGGCGGTCAGGGGATGGGGAGCGGGTTGGTTGGATAGGCGTGGGAGTCCCGGGGGGGGGGGGGGGGGGGGGGGGGGGGGGGGGGGGGCGGATGGGGGGCGGGGGCCAGGCTGTTTGGGGAGGCACAGCCTTCCCTACCCGGCCCTCCATACAGTTTTGTAACCTCGATGTGGCCCTCGGGCCAAAAAGTTTGCCCACCCCTGGTCTATATGTACCTTCGAGGGAACAAATATTTAATAATGGGTTCTTCAGTTTAGCAGAGAAAGGTCTAACATGATCCAATGGCTGGAAGTTCAAGCTAGACAAATTCAGACTGGAAATGAGGTGTACATTTTTAACAGTGTGAGTAATGAACCACTGGAACAATTTAATAAGATCATGGTGGATTCTCCATCATTGACAATTTTAAATCAAGATTGGATGTTTTTCTAAAAGATCTGCTCTAGGAATTATTTTGGGGAAGTTCTGTGGTCTGTGTTGGACAGGATGTCAGACTTGATGATCACAATGGTCCCTTCTTCCCTTGGAGTCTATGAAAACCAATGCAGTAGCATGGCCCAAGAAAACAAGACTCCAGTGCAAAACAACACGAAGTAACTGGTACTGCAATGAAGACTTTAAATACTCAGTAGCTTATCACCAGATGAATTTACAATTTCTGTAATCTAGTCTTAGTTTAAAATCAAGAATTTTGTTGATGCCATTCAGTTTTTGTTCCGCTTCTATTATCTTATTAGAATGTGCCAAAACTCTCTAAATTTCTTAAGTGTTCTAGAATAGAAGGGAATAGACATCAAGAGAAAAGTCTGCTATACAGCACAATGTGATATTTCATTTGTTATTTGGGGCTTAAAAAGGAACCTAAGTGTAAAGTTTAAGTACATATACCATCTCATTTTAAGCTTTCAAGGTCACACTAACAGACACTGGTGATCATTTTAAAACCAACCATTCTGGGGCTTGTCTTTCCTTTAATACAGAAGCATGAAATTTTTTAATCTCAAAATAAACCGCATACAAAAATATGTAGTAGCACAGGAGTGCCATATTTCTGAACAGAGAAACAAGAACCCAACTGTTGCATTTTCAGTTTAAGAAAATATACATAAAGCAGAAGAAGTTGGAGTCTTTCTCCACCTCAGAGCCACTATAGTTATGAATTATTAAAAATTTCAGCTGCCATATTTAAAGAGGTAGGAAGCAAAGGTTAGATAGAGCAGAGGTTCTCAAACTGTGGTCCTTGGACCAAGGAGCATGTGGCGGTCCAGTGAGAGTTGGCTGGTCACAGGATGCTAGCTTCTTCTCCTTATTTTCTCTGATAATAGCATTAAAAGTCAGCTAAAATACAATAAATTCTTTCTTCATGTTACTTTTCCACCTTAGCGATTGTAGTTGCTACAGGGACGTTACCGGATTGCAAATGAAAAGGGAAGCGGTCTGTACAATCACAAATAGGAGCCAGCCCACAAAAATCTATCTTAAAATATAGTCCATACTATGAAAGAGGTAAAGAACCCTTGAGACAGGCTAGCTGGTACTGCTGGTATATAATTATTCATCTTTAAATGTAATGTATGAAATAACTAGTTTTACTGCTTAATCAGCTCCATTCTTCTTGTTTCTTTTGTTTAACAGTAGAACTCAGATCGTGTACGCTGCAATTTACAGTGTAAATGGTAAGATTTTAACCTAAATATTTTGTCCATGATAACATTTACCACTTAAATGTGTTGCACAAACAGTAATTTGTCGATCCATTAGCAACAAGCCTTGCAGCTAAAATACACAACTGGTTTTACTCCAGCAGGGAACCAACTAAAGAACTGAAACTCACATGAGATTTCTGTATCAATTCTTCCTTTGTTATTTCGCCAACCGATTCCAAGTGTGGGCAATCACTGCTGAGAGCTGACATTTTAATAACAGTAGTTTTCTAGCTCTTGTAGCTTTTAAGATGAGGCAATATCTACAAAACAAGAATAAAATAAATTAAGTATAACCTGAAGAAATTTTATTCTTGTAAGCAGTAATATTAGACATTTGACAGAGCTGCTGTATACATTTAACCTTATAATATAAAACCAGGACAATCCCATTATCTGTTCAATTAAATAAAAGTACACTTGGAAAATGCACACACTGCATTTTAAAATGAATGCAAATAACTGTTTATTGAAAGTAAAAGAATCTAGTAAATAAAATTAAATACAGCTGAACCTGCTAAATTGCAAGCCTGCACTAAAATGGATTTTTGTATTTGTAACTTACTGAGACATAGACCTATGAAATCCTGCTACCGTGCAAGCAACAGGGCCAATGTAGGTGAAGTCATGTTCCCCCACACTGAACAATGAGGGAGAACCTAATCACTAGGGCCCTACCAAATTTGTGAAATTGACCGTGATCATAGGATTTTAAACATTGTAAGTTTCATGATTTCAGCTATTTAAATCTGAAATTTCATGGTGTTGTAATTGTAGGGATCCAGACCCAAAAAGGAGTTGGAGGATGGTCGCAAGGTATTATAGAGGGGGTTGTGATACTGCTACCCTTACTTCTGCACTGCTGCTGGCGGTAGCACTGCCTTCAGAGCTGGGCAATTGGAGAGTGGCAGCCGCTGACTGGGAGCCCAGCTCTGAAAGTAGAGCCACTGCCAGCAGTAGCTCAGAAGTCAGGATGGCATACTGCCACCCTTACTTCTGCGCTGCTGCCTGCAGAGCTGGGTGCTAAGTCAGCAGCCACCACTCTCTGGCCGCCCAGCTCTGAAGGCAGCACAGCAGTAAGGACAGCAATAGTGCAAACCCCCTAAAATAATCTTGCAACTCCCTTTTGGGTCAGGACCCCCAGTTTGAGAAACTCTGGTCTCCCCTGTGAAATCTGTATAATATAGGGTAAAAGCGCAAAAAAAAACCCATAGATTTCACAGGGGGAAAACCAGATTTCACAGTCCATGACTCCCTTGTTGAAGGAGAAAGAAGCAGACATAGGGAACTTTATCCTGGTCTCATTTATTTACAGTGACATATACTCCTGAGCAGGCATATTAGATGTCAAAAGGAAAACGTCACATGTAGTACAGAACTCTTTCCTTCAGATCTTTGCCAGACTTCCACTTTCTCTGATGCAAGGCTGGTTTAATGCCAAAAATCTTTTGTTAGAAGCATACCTACGTTGTCTCAGACCTGGTCACTTGGTCAGATGTCAGTTAAAACCACTATTTGGTGGTTGCACAAATATATCTGATTGTTTTGCAATACAAAGGAAAAAACTAAACTAGTTATATTCCCTCAAATGCAAGGTATGTATGATTCAGTGGTTCTCAATCTTTCCAGACTACTGTACCCCTTTCAGGAATCTAATTTGTCTTACATACCCCAAGTTTCACCTCACTTAAAACTACTTCCTTACAAAATCAAACATAAAAAAATACAAAAGTATCACAGCACGCTATTACTGGAAAATTGCTTACTTTCTCATTTTACCATATAATTACAAAATAAATTGAATGGAATATAAATATTGTACTTGCATTTCAGTATATAGAGCAGTATAAACAAGTCATTTTCTGTATTCAATTTTAGTTTGTACTTGTGACGGGTTGGATCACAGAAACCCCCTTGGGAGCTGCCACCCGATGTGCCAAGACTACCCCTGCTTCTGTTTTCCCTGCCAGCTCAGGACTCCAGCCCCCTGTCTTGCTGAGCGAGACACTCCCGTCTGGCTCCAACACAGACCCAGGGTCTGAATCACTTGTTCCAATGCTGCAAGTTTACCCAAAAACAGCTCACAGGAGTGTGCTTGTCTTTAGCACTCAGATGCCCAACTCCCAATGGGGTCTAAACCCAGATAAATCCGTTTTACCCTGCATAAAACTTATGCAGGGCAAACTCATAAATTGTTCGCTCTCTATAACACAGATAGAGAGATATGCACAGTTGTTTGCTCCCCCAGGTATTAATACATACTCTGAGTAAATTATTAAATAAAAAGTGATTTTATTAAATACAAACAGTAGGATTTAAGTGGTTCCAAGTAGTAACAGCCAGAACAAAGTAAGTCACAAGCAAAATAAAATAAAATGCGCAAATCTATGCCTAATCAAACTAAATACAGATAAGTTCCTCACCAGTTCCAGAATGCTCCCTTTTACAGGCTAATCTCCCTTTAGCCTGGGTTCAGCAATCTCTCACAACCCCTGTAGTTACTGTCTTTTGTTTCAGTTTCCTTCAAGCATCCTGGGGGGGTGGAGAGGCTCCTTCTTTAGCCAGCTGAAGACAAAATGGAGGGGTCTCCCCCAGGGTTAAATAGACTCTCTCTTGTGGGAGGAGACCCCCCTCCTCCCTCCTATGCAAAGTCCAGCTCCAAGATGGAGTTCTGGAGTCACCTGGGCAAGTCACATGTCCCTGCATGACTCAGTCTTTACAGGCTGAAGCCATTGCCCACATGGAATCTTGCATGTCTCCAGGAAGACTTCTTAAGTGGACTGGAGCATTCCAAGATGCATTGTTCCCTGATCAGGTACTTAACCTGGCGAATTCCTTCCTAAAGAAGCTGACCAAATGCCTCCCAAAGCTTACTTAGAAACCAAGCAAGCATACAGCCCATATTCTTAACCTCAAGTAGAAAATGATATATATATGTACAAATAGGATGAATAGATATAGTAGACCATAACCTTTACGGAGATATGTTACCTGGCACAGGCAGCACAAAACATATTCCAGTTATGTCATACATACATTTATAAGCACCCCCTCCCCATAAAGCCTTATGGGGTACACTGTCACAGTACTGACTTCGCTAACGCTTTTTATGTAGCTTGTTGTAAAACTAAGCAAATATCTAGATGAGCTGATGTACTCCCTAGAAGACCGCTGCGTACCCCAGGGATACGCGAACCTCTGGTTGAGAACCACTGGTCTATAGCCTGTGCAATCTGACAGCCTTTACTATGCTCTCCCAAGAACTTTCTCTTGATCCACACTGCTCAAACAGCTACCATCTTATTCTCTCCTCTGATTTATCACCAAAATTTGGAACATACTGTGTAGATTTCCTCTCCTCCAACTCTTTCAATAACCCCTTCCAGAATGAATCACCTATACCAAGTTCCTAAACTAAATCATACTAATGAGTTCACAGATGCACTTCTCTATTCTTTGTATTCTTTTCTATTGGCTTTTGCAGCTCTATGTTTCTTTGGTTCTTCAACTACACAGAAGGACTGGAAGGGACCTTGAGAGGTTATCTAGTCCAGACCCGTGCACTCCTGGCAGGACTAAGTATTACCTAGACCATTCCTGACAAGTGTTTGTCTAACCTGCTCTTAAAAATCTCCAATGATGGAGATTTCACAACCTCCCTAAGCAATTTACTCCAGGGCTTAACCACCCTGACAGTTAGGAAGTTTTTCCTAATGTCCAACCTAAACCTCCCTTGCTGCAATTTAAGCCCATTGCTTCTTGTTCTATCCTCAGGAGGTCAAGAACAACAATTTTTCTCCCTCCTCCTTGTAACAACCTTTTACATACTTGAAAACTGTTATGTCCCCTCTCGGTCTTCTCTTTTCCAGACTCAACAAACCCAATTTTTTCAATCTTCCCTCAAAGGTCATGTTTTCTAGAACTTTAATCATTTTTGTTGCTCTTCTCTGGACTTTCTCCAATTTGTACACATCCTTCCTGAAATGTGGTGCCCAGAACTGGACACAATGCTCCAGTTGAGGCCTAATCAGCACAGAGTAGGGTGGGAGAATTATTTCTGTCTTGCTTACAACACTCCTGCTAATACATCCCAGAATAATGTTCGCTTTTTTTGCAACAGTGTTACACCATTGACTCATATTTAGCTTGTGGTCCACTATGACCCCCAGATCCTTTTCCACACTACTCCTTCCTAGGCAGTCATTTCCCATTTTGTATGAGTGCAACTGATTGTTCCTTGCTAAGTGGAGTACCATGCATTTGTCCTTATCAAATTTCATCCTATTTACTTCAGACCATTTCTCCAGTTTGTCCAGATCATTTTGAATTATAATCCTATCCTCCAAAGCACTTGCAACCCCTCCCAGCTTGGTATCGTCCGCAAACTTTATAAGTGTACTCTCTACGCCATTATTGAAATCATTGATGAAGATATTGAATAGAACTGAACCCAGAACTGATCCCTGCGGGACCCCACTCATTATGCACTTCCAGATGCTTCCCAAACTCTGGGAACGGTTTTCCAACCAGTTTTGCACCCATGGTACAGTAGCTCCATCTAGGTTGCATTTCCCTAGTTTCTTTATGAGAAGGTCATGCGAGACAGTATCAAAAGCTTTACTAAAGTCAAGATATACTACGTCTACTGCTTCCCCTCGTCCACAAGGCTTGTTACCCTGACAAAGTAAGCTATCAGGTTGGTTTGACATGATCTGTTCTTGACAAATCCATGCTGACTGTTACTTATCACCTTATTATCGTCTAGATGTTTGCAAACTGATTGCTTAATTATTTGCTCCATTATCTTTCCAGGTATAGAAGTTAAGCTGACTGAGCTGTAATTCCCCAGGTTGTCCTTATTTCCCTTTTGATAGATGGGCACTATATTTGCCCTTTTCCAGTCTTCTGGAACCTCTCTCATCTTCCAAGACATTTTAAAGATAATCACTAATGGCTCAGATATCTCCTCAGTCAGCTCCTTGAGTATTCTAGGATGCATTTCATCAGGTCCTGGCGCCTTGAAGACATCTAATTTGTCTAAGTAATTTTTAACTTGTTCTTTTCCTATTTTAGCCTCTGATCCTACCTCATTTTCACTGGCATTCACTATGTTAGACACTGACAATTGCACCTTCAGCCTTTCCTCATCCTCTCTATAGCCCAGATAAGTTGGCATCCCTCTTCTTCTCTTTCTCCAAATCCTCCTTCAAGGAACCCACCAATCTCATGGTTTCACTTACTTCGTCTATGCCAATGCTTCCCA